CCTTCGGATCCACAAGTGTAGCAAGCCTTGCGCTGAGGCTGAGGACAATCCTTGGAAACATGTCCCTAAGTAGGGTTTAGTTAAATAGAAATTATTGTTCTGGGCTGTCACGCACCGTTCCTGAGCAGTTGTAGCATTTGGCACCTTGAACACACTCGCGGGAGATATGACCAACGCCTCCGCAAGTGAAGCTGTCGAGTTTGATAAGATTGACTAGCAGAACCTGAACGATAGATACCCACCAAGTCTTTTGATTACCTCCGCCGAACGCCGCATAGGCGCCTCCTCCTCCACGGGAGCGCCCACCGCCACGCCCGCCGCTATAACCGCCACCACCGCTGTTATAGTTGCTGCTGCTACTGCCATTAGGACAATTGCGAGAGATGTGTCCAACTTGGCCACAGCGGTAGCATTCCGAGTTGCTGTAGTCCTTTCCCCCAGTGTTCTCGGATTGCTGCTGTTGCTTCGTACAATCACGAGACTTTTGATCGGGTGGTGAGACTCGTAGGTAAAAGGGGGAAATATGACTTACTATATGACCTTCCTGACCGCATTTGTAGCAAGTCTTTGCCTTGGGGTCACTAGTACAGTCGCGGGACTTTACCAGCAGGTCAGTAACTATTTTCGTACACACTATATATTAGAATTTATACGTACCACGTGACCTTCTTGTCCGCCTACGTAAGGAGTAGTTCAAGAGGTTAGCATTGCTCTGAAGGAAATAGAGAGTACACCAACAGTTGTAGCTGAATAATAACTACTTTTAGCTATTTGTGTTGATTACAGTTACGTGAATACTTACCAAGTGGGCGTGCCTGCTTTAGGACAAGCGGCAGCTTGGTGGCCGTCTAATTAACCCAATCGATCATAAGACAGGTCGAGATAGGTGTGAACGAAAAAGCAAATGACCACCACAACGGCCAAATGGATGAAGGTAAAATCGGCAATAATATGATTTATGTTATTTGTTTTGTTCGAATTGAGACGACATCAAGTGACCAACAGCCGCCATCGTGGATTGGAGGGTAAAACCGTCGTAAAGCAAATAAAAGGACGTGGATGTGGGTAATAACTCTGTTAGCGACGATTTCTCAACCGCATACTGCAAGATCCCGCAATGGGCGGGAGGGGCAGGATGAGGAAAAGTAAGAACAGCAACGCACAACCGCCACAATTGAAGCATCCACGAGCTCCAGACATTTTTCTTCGTCTTCTTCTCCTCGCGTACAAAGACTACCACTCCTGCAGGATCAAAGCATCAAATTGACTGCGCGTAAGCAAATGGGGTGAAAATGCATGAAACGAGCGAGGTTCGACGACTCATCAAAACGGATAAGAATTAAATGATGGAATGAACTATGTCTGAAAGGGTGTCTATTTTAGAGCATTTATGGAGGCTTACACTGAAAATTTGAGGGAATACGCCGGGATGGGGAAGGAACCAGGTCACGGGAGCCTGACCAAACAAACAATAGTTATCTTAATTAGCATTCATCCGGAACTTTTCGGAGAGATGACCCAAACGTTTGGTACAAGTATCATGGATCGAATTCACAGTGGATACAAACTACGATAGACAGTGCTAAAGAGAAAAATATAATAAATAAGATGAGCCGAAGGAGAATCTAGACATGAGATTATGGTGCAATTGTGAATGAAATGGGGTTATACTACCTTCACTTTCTCCG